TATATGCCCATAGTATCGAAGGCAGCATGTCAGGCCAGTCACCTTTGGCATTCGCTATCCTTGTTCGGAGGTCCTGCAATATGATCTGATTAGTTATTTCGGCTAACCCATTACTTTGTAGGTGTGAGACCGAGGTTAGGCGATGATCAATCTCATTGCTGTCGCAGAAGTTCTTGAACTGGGATTGTCGAATTGTCTTCCATTATCTGTGATGAGGACTTTTGGTATCCCGAATTTGCATATGATGGACTTCCATATGAATGACCTGAGCTTCGGCTCTGAAATTGTTGCTAGAGGTTCGGCTTCTACCCACTTTGTAAAATACTCCACTGCCACAGCTACAAATTTTAATTGTCCTCGGACCAAGTGGAAAGGCCCAAGAATTTCAACTCCCCATTGCTCGAAGGGAGCTGAGTAGTTAATGGATGTTAGTTCCTCAGCAGGAGTATGTATGATGTTGCCAAACTTTTGGCACTTATCGCACTTCCGGACGTAATCTGTGGCATCTTTCTTCAGACTTGGCCAGTAGTATCCATACCTTATCAACTTATGTGCAAGAGCTCGGGCTCCTTGGTGATTTCCACAAATGTCTTTGTGAATTTCAGTCATTGCTTGAAGGGACTCGAAGGGTCTGAGACACCTTAGATAAGGGAGTGTAAGACTTCTGCGGAACAGGACTCCTTCGATTATGCAATATCTAGCAGCTCTATACCGAATGCTTCGGGCGAGCCGAGGGTCTGCAAGAATGTTGCCATTACTTATGTAATCAACTATTGGATGCATCTAGGAGGGCTCATGGTCGATGTCCATGATACTTGGCTTCTGGGCTATACTTGATTCTTCAACCATCTTGATGTGCACGGTTCTATCGAGCCCGTCAGCACCCATGAAGACGAGTCTGGATAATGCATCGGCTTTGGCATTTTCGGCTCTGGCTACTTTCAGAATTTCACAACTTACGAACTGCCTTTGGAGGTCATGTACTTTCAAATAATATAAGCTCATTTTTTCATCCTTTCTTTCGAAAGACCCCTGGATTTGCCCGACCACTAGCTGTGAGTCACTGAAAACTTTGACGTGCTCACACTCAAGATTTTTCGCGAGTTCCAGGGCTATAACAACGGCTTCGTACTCTGCTTCGTTATTGGTAGCCTGGAATTCAAATTTGAGAGCGTATTGTATCTCCGTAATCTTGTTTGGACTTGTGATAATTACACTAGCCCCCGAGCCCGAGATATTGGATGCTCCGTCAACAAAAATTTCCCATATTCCTGAGGTCGAGTTCGGGCTCTCGACTGGTGTTTCTGAGGATCTCGGAGTAAGCTCTGCTATGAAGTAAGCTAAAGTTTGGGCCTTGATTGCAGGTCGTGGCTTGAATTCTATGTCAAATTCGCCGAGTTCAATTGCCCATCTCAGCAGTCTTCTTGAGACATCTGGCTTCTAAAGTATATGTCTGAGAGGTTGGTTGGTGAGCACAACAATTGGATGTGACTGGAAGTATGGCCGTAATTTTCTAGCAGCCATTACTAAAGCAAGGGCGAGTTGTTCCGCAAGTGTGTATCGTGTTTCTGCATCGAGGAGCACTTTACTTACATAGTAGATAGGTTGCTGGACTCTTCCTTTTTCCTTTACTAAGACATCGCTTACTGCGTTCTGAGAAACAGCCAAGTATAATAGCAGCGTGTCACCGGGTTCGGGTTTAGTAAGGACTGGAGGCGTTGATAATGTCTGTTTAAGCTCCTGAAAAGCTAAGTTACATTCCTCATTCCAGTCGAACCCTTTATTTCCCCTAAGTAGTTTGAAAAAGGGTGAGCACCTGTCAGCTGCCCGGGAAACAAACCTGTTTAGTGCTGCTATGCGACCTGTCAACTTTTGAATGTCCCTTTTGCACGTAGGAGCCTCCATACTTATCAAAGCTTGGATTTTGTCGGGATTTGCCTCTATTCCTCTGTGCGTGATCATAAAACCCAAGAATTTTCCAGATGCCACCCCAAATGCACATTTTGCCGGGTTGAGCTTCATGTTGTATCTCCGTAACTTAGCAAACACTTCCTCTAGATTAGAAACATGGCTATTCAACTGTTTGCTCTTGACCACCATATCATCCACATATGCTTCGACCGTTTTCCCAATTAGCTTGGCGAAGATCTTGTTCACTAACCTTTGATATGTTGCTCCAGCATTCTTCAGTCTAACGGGCATGACCCTGTAGCAGTAGATGGCTGAATCTGCCATGAATGAGGTCTTCTCTTGATCTTCTTCTGCCATGAGAATTTGGTGATACCCTGAGAAAGCATCCAAGAAGCTGTGCAGCATATGACCTGATGTGCTATCTACGAGATTGTCAATTCTAGGTAGGGGATAACTGTCTTTGGGGCATGCTTTATTCAGATCTGTGAAGTCAATACAAACTCGCCACTTTCCATTAGCTTTCTTGACAAGAACCACATTGGCAAGCCATTCGGGATATTGTACCTCTCGAACGAACTGTGCATTAAGGAGTTTGGCAATCTCCTCTTTTATGACTTCTCGTCTTTCCGGTGCAAACTGCCTCTTCCTTTGCTTCACATGTCTTGCTTTCGGGTTCACGTTAAGTCTATGTACTGCAACTTCTAGATCAATTCCAGGCACGTCCTCAACATTCCAAGCGAATACATCAATGT